AGCCCTGCTCCCGCCCCCTGCCCTCTCTGCTTTCTGCTGAACAGCCCCACTCCCCCCACCCCTGCTTCCGCCACCTGCCTGCCTGCTCCCCCCCATCTCCGCGGGACAGCCCCGCTACCCCCAACCTTGCTTCCCAGCAGCCGGTTCCCCCCGCCTCCTCCCAGCCCGCCCCGCTCTGCTCCCCTCCCAGCAGCCATGCTGAGGCCCGGTGTTTTTTTCCCGTGGCCCGCTACTGGGCCGCGGCCCATAGTTTGGGAAACGCTGAGCTACATGCAGTGTAGGGATGTGAACAACTAGTTGACAGGATAGTCAGCTAGTCACTTCCCCCACCCTTGTTGCCTCTATCAGAAAGAGGCAGCAAGGGAGAGGTTGAAAAGGGTGTGCTTCATTCAAAGTGGCAGCACAAGGTGGAGCCTGGGGCCAGACCCCAGGCTTCACTTGGCGCTGCTGTTTTGAAATGCCGCGGGCAGCCCGGCGTCCCCAGCTGGCCCTGGGCTTCACAGTGTTTCAAAGCGGCAGCGCCTGGGGCTGTTGCTACACTTCAAAGGCGGGAGTGCCCTTTTCGACTAATTGAATAGTCAGTGCAAATTGAATCAACTATTTGATTAGCTAAATAATCAAAATTTTACATCCCTAGCCCAGTGCCGCCTAAACTGAGGCTCTCACTATGGTTCCTTCCCTCCTTTAAGAGCATGGAGAACTCTTGCCAGGAATCCTGAGACAACAGATTTTTAAATGGCAACAGATTTTTAAATATCAACATGAAGTTGCATTTGTTGTCCTCATACTTGCCTAGCAGGGCTTCCTTGTCTGAGATATTCCACCTGTTGAATACTTTTTTTCTGCCTAATATCTAGTTTCCTTAAGTCTTTCTGTTTGGAGATAGCGCTTGTTTGGTCTTTATCCCTCTCATTGGCTGTCCATATAATTAGAGAGAATATAAGTACTCAGACCCCATCGCTGGCATATATTATTTTTTTCCTCTGCCCTCTTCAAAGACAGAAGAGGGATTTGCCACAGGGCATTGATTGGACCCATTATAGCATTGTTAAAGGTAGCTGCAGCCAAAATGTCAATGAAGCTGCAAGAATACTCCCTGAGCACTTCAAGCTCTAATCTCAGGTTAGCCTCTATCCTGTTTTGAATCTCCTGGTGGATTCTAAAGTTGACATTCAGTGGCAAGCCACTTGGTCCCAATATGGCCTCATCTGAAGAAGAGGAAGAAGCCTGTATCAGAGGGGGAGTCTTCTTCTTCTTCTATTGCCTCTACTGGGGCCTCATAGTTGTAACCAGTCGTGCTCTGGTTAGAGATGTCATATTGAGGTTATTTTAGTGATTGAGTAGTTGATAGAATTTTTATCA